GGTGATTTTTTGTCGAAATTCCTTCTAGTAAGGGGGGGGGGGTACATCGCCGGGGTCTAGGAATTACAGCGTTTAGGACGGGGTGCCGATGCTCAAAACAAAGCGGGCATATCTCGAGACAGTTAAAACTTAAGTATTTCTGCTGGGGTGGAGGGAAGGGGGAGGGGGTCGGGGTACTGGTAATCCCTTCAGAGGACTGGACAGGCGCCTCGACCAGTAACATGCTGACCATCAAATGGCGTAGTATAAGTAGCGGGATAGTTGACGTAGACTGTGTATTGTAGATGATCTACGCTTTATGGGCTTAAGTATCTTTCCCAAAAAAAGAAAAAAAACTTTTTTTAATAGGAAAATATGTTTTTTTCCTTATAAAATCAACAGTAATGTTAATTTTCAGCATAAAAATGAGCCATATTACCACATCTCCATTCCCAGGTGTTATATTAATATGTGTGTCTACAGTAATCACAAAAGTATATACAATCAGCAATAATTACAGTAGTATATAATAATATATGTGTGCACTCAAAGTTAAAGTTTGTAACTTGGTGCCGTGCTAACTCGAAAACTTGCCGGAAAACAGTGGCTGAAATTTTCACTGCATGTTTGTCGCCCATGTGGGAAATCGTATACCTAAAATGAGCACCGATTTGCACTTGCACCAAGACTTAGGGCACTTCAAAGGTACGCACTATCAGGTATAGTATATAATGCTGAGCTCTGAGTGTATGTCACAGGAATTTCATTGTCTAGCTTCAACCTGTTAAATTGCTTGAATTGAAGCCAAAATTTTTGAGCTTATAACTTCTCGTATTGTGAACAGTGAGTGTGGCGCACCTGTGAAGATGTTCATCTAATTGCTAGTAGGACAAGGGCAGGGCAGCAGTTAAGGTAAACGTAAAGCAACTATTAAACCAAGCAGCATATGCTACTACTGTCAAAACTCCTCCATCCTGGCCGTTAGTATAAGGCAGAAACAGTCGGAAAATAGTTAGCCCGAATGATAGCAAATACCAACAGAAACTATCCGCAAGCAAGGCTGTAGATGAGACCTCCTTCTTTCGAGGGTTTCCTACAAGCAGTTTGATTACGGCATATGTCAGTACCAATTTACCATCGAAACGAATGAACGAATCGTAGAGGGACTGGTGAACCACAGGCGTGAATCTTCTACTTACTGCTCGATAACAGACCACTAAAAGCAAACACCATTAAATCAGGTGTATTTAACTATTAAGTTTGAAATGCATGCTTAGTTTGGCTATAATTCGTAGTTCGTTCTTCACTTATGCAACTAGGAACTTTTCCTTTGTCCTGACCAATACAGCATTGCCCGATGGTTAGCCGGCGTTAGCGATTTTGATGTCCTTTCCGTTTTATGAAAGGATTACCGGCTTAGTTATTTAAGGTTAAGTGAAAATTTCGGCGAAAAATGTAGAAATTGATGATAGAAAAGGTCAAAAAAGAGTAAAAAAGGGAAAGCTGTAAAAAGAAGTAATAAATTAGGTACGAAATGTTTCGGTCCATTAAGTCGTATACATTTCTTACCTTTACCACAGTTGGACCTCGTTAGTTATTCTTTCGACACAAGTGCATAACTGGACTTTAGCCGTCTGCCTTGCTTCAAGAACCTCATCTCGAATGTTTTTTGTCACTTCTAAAGCACCCTACCGACGAACAGCCTTGCTACCAGCTAGCATGTGGTAGCTGTTATTAAAGCAACGATGCACACATCATATTTTGATGGTTTATTTCAGGCAACAGCAGGTATAACTTTGCCAAAAGTGAAAGTGCGCCGAATTGCATCGAAAAATGTTGGCGGATCGATCAAACCCTTCGACCTTCCGAAGAACTATATCAAGTTTCGTGTGAGGCCCAATAAAGAAATGGATAACATCCTGGAATATGATGTCGACGAAGAGGTTGTTTCTCATGAAAAATTGCCTGTCCCTCTGCCTGTGGCACATATGGCCTCGTGCTTGCCCTGTTTAAAACTGAAGCGAATTTTGTAGAGTTTTTATGGTTTTTTGCAGCTATGCAATGCAGAAAACGAATATTGACGAGGGGTTGACTGTGTGTGTGTCTGTGCGTCTGTATGTCTGTGTGTCCGTCTGTACCAGTTTTTCATCTCAAGACCAACAAAAGCTACAGGGCTGGAACTTTGGAGACTTAGTCTACATGCATGCACGAGTCCCAATGCCCAAAGAAGGCGCCATTACCCGCGTGGTACCCAAGTAAGAACCCGCCAAAATTTTTTTTGGGTAAGTTGATAACTCAGGGATTTGAAAAGATAAATGACTGTAATTTTAAGAGGATATTCCCCGTTCACCTAAGTCTCATTCAGCTCAAACCCAGACTCCGGGTGTGCGTGGTCCCACATACGGGCCCACCAAAGTTTTTTCGGTTAAGTTGATAACTCGGGAATCAGAAAAACTAGAAAGTTTAAAGTTTGCGGGGGCGCGCCTGTCCAGACGTTCCCTGTCCGTGTAAGTCTTAATGAGCTTCAAACCAATCCCGGGTACGCGTGGTGCCTGCGTACTGGCCCACCAGAGTTTTTTCGGGTAAATTGATAACTCGAGTACTTGGAAAGCTAAAGGACTGTAATTTTAAGAGGATATTCCCCGTCCACTTAAATCTCATTCAGCTCAAACCCAGACTCCGGGTGTGCGTGGTACTCACATACGGGCTCACCAAAATTTTTTTCGGGTAATTTGATAACTCGAGAATCTGAAAAGCTAGAAGACTGCAGTTTTAACAGGATATACTCCGTCCACT